GGTATGGATTTTTACTTTTTAGTGTCTTAAACAGGGTCAGGGATTTAGACCGCTAGCGGCACGTACCTATCCAAAACGGGGTTGAGTAGATCGCAGATCTCGACTTCAAACGTCGGAAAAGCGACTATTTTAACAGAAAAACGACGATATTCCTGTCTCGAAGTTCGAGTAAGGCTCAAAGAATTGTGTTAACACACAATTTAAGAATTGAATATAGAGGCTTAATTTTACGCGATAAAAACGGGCAGACATATATCACCATGTTACTCATCGCAGAACTCAGCTCTATTTAATATGTGAATGACTATAAATCTAAGGCATGGTATCTAATCTTTAGTCCTCTCCTTTTTGTTAGGGATTTACAGGTCGACAGAATAGAGGCTTACAATGAACTTAATTTTATTCATAAAGCGTATTATATTAGCGTAATTCCTTCATATTGCTGGTATTGCTGGTATGACTTTACCAAGGCTTTAAATCTTATTATAAAGCACAATAAAGACAATTGACCATATGAAAAGCGAGCAGAAGACTGGGAATGAGCACATTAAAYGCTCCATATTTTTAAACATCTGTTTTCACAATATGAAGGAGTATATCTCAACTAGTAAATTGGCAGAGTTTTAGTTTCAATTGTTAAATATCAGCAGAGTTATGAGCATTTGAAATATAACAAAAACGTGAAAACGAGGCTGGTCAGGCCTCCATACTCATTTTCACTCAAACCTTTGCAACTTCAAACACCTGTAATTTCTGGTCCTTAATTAAATGTATGAGCAATGAAACTTTCAGATCGTATTCATTGTGATGTGTTCTTTCAACGGGTAGCAATGATACAATAAAAATCTTATAAACTAGGGAGATACGATAGCCACGCCATTTTTCATATGGTYTATAGTTTTAATAATGCTAAGGCCAGATATTCATAATGCAATGAGTCTTTTGTAATTTTTGTCATGAAAATCAGTAAAATCTATTTGACACTCATCTTAAGCTGTTTTGATCCTTTTGACTGCRGCTTTGTCATGTCTCCGACACAGGCTTCTAATGAATTCGCGTTTAGCTCCATCGCCGATGCTTTACCAYACAGACAGTGTACAGCAGAAAAAGAGATATTTTAGTAAGCCTATATCACGAAGGATTCGTTTTAGAACACGCTTATAACAACGTCGAAAAAGCCATTTCGGAGTTACGAAATGAATTGTAATTTCTGTCATATTRAGCCAATCAAAAAACTAACCATCTCACTAAAAAGACATCGACTTTAGTGTAGTTTCCAAGTTACAGATCATTTGGACAAATATTCAATTAATGAGAAGTCGTGCAATTTACAGAGAATGTATGGGGATTTTGACCGCGTCCCCCAAAACAATACATTCTCTTTTAATTTGATCTAGGAATAAAAACTGTTCAGCTAGTTTTTATCCCAACGTTTTGAAACTTGGTATATTTAMTAATTTTTGGGTGTCCTTTCATGGGGTGGGGTTTGTTTCGTGATTAGATCAATATTTCTTTGATTAGTGCCCAGTCCCCTGCGCAACTCCGAAATGCTAATAGTRCATACTATGCTTCGGCTTAGGTCGGTGTGAAATAATGCTTTGATTTTTAGCATTTTTTCAGATGAATCTGGCATTCTTTCTCGATAGATTCAATAAGTCTTGCATATACTTTTACGTACATGACTAGTTGCAGGCATTTTAACAGATCGTTAAAGCAGTTTTTATAAGGAAATAGTTTTGCTTCTGTCACGTTTTACATACATCTCTTTGTAATACACCGAGAGTTTGTCCTAAACYAGCGGGACGTCCAAAGTTCAAGATCTATTTTTAGACTGGGCGCGCAGCGCTATTCTGAAGTTCGTCAGCGCGTGCAAATATATGTACATATGTAGTGTTGCGAAAAAGGACTTGGTCAAACCTATCTAGTACGGCTGCAAAGGAGTTTTATAGATAGTCTTACTGCCTAGGGATAAACCGCAGCTCTTTTTTGAGCCACATGTCGAATGTGGTCTTCCATGAATTTATGACGCAAACATCCGCTCATTTTGCATTAATTATGCGTGAACGAAAGTGTCATTATTCATGCTGCGATGTCAACGATAAACGGCCAGTGATTTTAATCACGAGTCTTTTGGAAGCCGGAACAGGCGTCGGGACTTTTAGATCTGTAAAAATAAACGCTGTACTCGACGTATTCATTGCTGATTTGTTTGACATATAAAACGACGCTATGACAATGATGGACGATTCTACTCTGACAATGACTCAGCTTGTACGGGCGGAAGTGACCTAAGAGCTCATGTGACCGCAGTAACGTGCACTATTCCTTGATGCTCGTTACCAGGTTTATTCGACCAAAGTTGATACCTTTGATCTCTTATTTAAGAAGACATCATAAAAAACACACCTGAGGTGGCGGGAAACATTTATATTTTGACTGACTGAAGTTTGTAAACTCGGTAGACATCAATGTAATTTTAATCCAATATGTTATACCTAAGTTTCAGCTGTTTGCTTTTAAAGCTATTCCAAAAATTATAATCAACAGAGAATTATGAAAATACATCCAATAARCCGCTTGGGAAAACATGGAAAATATAGCAAATTATTACCGAAGATCTTTTTTTGAATTGATGTGCAAATATTGACTGGTCGGGCTKCAATGTATTGGCTTGAACTGAATCATAAGTACCCAAAGAAACTTTCGGTCGTGTTTCAAAAAAAAAACGTGTTTCAAACCACGAGGCTTTCGGTTGTACTAAAGGAGCTTTAGTTTCAATCCCCGACTGTCAAAAAAATTATATCAGGGGAATGTTAATGTACGTAGGGCGAATAAAATGTATCCACGCTATAGCTTTTGCGTATTTTATCCGCTAAATAAGGATTTATGCTGTGGCTGGTGGGTGCTGTTGCCCTTTATAGAATCGGTCCCAGTTTTTTCCTTAAAAAATACAGGTAGACTTTACCGGTCAGAGTTAGTTTGAACGTAAAATAGAAACTTGTTTTCAATCGGAAGCAGATTAACAGCTAAAATATATTTATTTTCTGTTTGATAAATGTTTACGTCTGAAACTCTTTAGATCGTGGAAGATTTATAAGTGCTGCGCTTTGCTCAAAAGGCGAGGCGATGTTTAAAATCAATAGAGCTGCTTTTARTTACAAASGGCTTCATTGGCTAACTGTATTCAATTCAACCAATAGAACGTCGTATAAACAAAAGCTACTGTTTAATTTGATTGACAGCTGAGGACCGCTGAACACATTGAATTGCAAATCCGCATGCGTAGACTTGGATCGTCTTGGTTTGTGTGTTTGCTTCTTCGGTGGAATCGCATATGTTATAAACAGACTACAAAGRATTAATACACGAAAAATACTTTGAGATACTCCGTGCACAGCAGTACAGTACAGAGACGAGGTCGGTGGACGTTTCCTCGCTAGAGATTAGCCAAAAAAGGTATTGACATTTCATTTGTTTTGAGGTGAACGCGTGACGGGTCGTGAAAGTGGGACTCAAAGACTCGCAGCTTATAGATAGTCGACGGAAATATCTTATAGCTTGGTGTCTTWGGAAGACTGACAATACGAAAAAATTTATATTTTTATTCCCCAAGAGACAAAATATAGAATAAATTTTAATTTATCATAGGAAAACAACTAGAAATGCTTCGCTTCTAATCACAATGAGCCAGTCCGACGAAAGCCAAGACGTCTGCAAGAAGCAAGACACCAAAATTCACGATGAATTTCAAAAAGGGTAAGATTTTGCGAAGCCATTGGTTGAAAATTTGATAATTTTGAGACCAGTAGTTTCTCATTGGCTCTAAGACTAGTCAGTTGGATCACATGAGTCTTCAAAATAGAACTATAGGGCATCAAATTATGCATGAATCGTCCAAAGTGTTGTACGAGAAACGATTTGTTAGTTAGCAAACTTTAGATTTTTTCTCTGTAAGAATTTTTTTCATTGATTTACATCAATGACTATATTTTTATTAGGATTTGAAAGATCAAGGGAAATTTTATGAACAGTTGAAGACTTAGAGCATAATTACTACATTACGTATAAATCGATTCAAAATTTTACAATGTAAAATTGTGTGAAACTGTTTATATAAATTTGGATTTGATTCACGAAATCGTTCAGTTTAATACAGACGGCGAGTTTAAAGTAGATTTCAGCTCGTATTATAAATCTTTTAACCCAAGCAACATGATATTTTCTTTCTAAATTTACTGAAGCGATATTTCACAACACCTTGATTGTTTACAAGTCATTGTTCATGCATAACCCATAATATGTTTGAGCATGCGCGGTGTTTTGTGTTCTGGTCGAGTGGGCTTGGGTTAAGAATTTGTTCCTAGGCAAAATAAATCAACAGCTGTTGAAATGCGAGAAGCTGAATTGATTATAAAGTACGGTAATAAGCATGTTTTGAATATTCATTACCAGCGCTATTTATGTTGGGTATTATTAACTGGTTTGACAAGTTTTAAACGGGTTTATTTCCGGTTTGAACCGAACGGAATACTGATGGCATGGCTACTTGTAGTTTTTTCTGTGCTTTGAAGTTTGTTAGTACTTTTTTTCTGCGACTTTGTCCTAAGTGTAAATCAACTAACTTCAATATTTTGGCTATTTGAATCTGCATTCGTATCAGTGCAAAATCTCACTATTTAACCAAGTGATTAGTATATACCAAATCTATCTGAATTAAAGTGTCTTTTACCCATACAAAAGAGTCATAGGAAACGTAAACCGGAAATGATTTTTTTTTTAGGCTAGATTGCGCGAGATACCAGTTTTTTTCGGTGGAAGACCGAGGAGACCTTGTGACAGTTCTTATGGGGTCGTACTTTAAACGCCGGACTATGTATTGCTTAATCACGCAGACCGTGTCACAGTCGTTCGCAGGACCATTGGTCGTAAAGACTAGAAAAGTGAAATGCTAGAGATAGTGTCTTTTTCAATGCAATCTGATTTGCTCTTGAAAGAAAAGACGTAAGACAATGAATTCTCTGATCCGGTCAGTCGCTAAAACTCACTTTGGCAAACAACTACCCCGTGAAAAAAGTATTTCGTAGTAGTATTCGTTTATTTCATCCTAACTCACGGTGTAAATGAAAAAAAATCCATCTTTTATCCATTCTCTTCTGTTAGCTAATTGCCATTAGTGTTGGTTGTTGCGAATTACACGAAGGCATGCGCAGTAGAGATCAGAACTCCAAATTCATCATTTTTTTGACTCGAATGATTTTCGACGATGCTGGTCAGCAAAATCGCTGGCTCTAGCTTTTTATTTCAGCTTTTCCATGTTCCGTTTACGTTATGCTAAACGAGAMATATMGCTTGTCTCGAATCTTGATCAGTAACGATATATCGCGTYAAGTTGACCGCTATTCATTTCCTATTTTGTCCAGTAATTCGCTCTATAAGCGTGTATGTAAGAAATAATTAGCATAACTACACCTTAGGTAGTCGATTACATTGTAAAGCAAGTCAGTTAAATCACAACCGAAGTCTCTCTGTAACAATTCAGTATTGTCTKGCAATTGTGTCTGTTCTCGACGACGATGGCAGTCAAAGGTCGAGAAAAATAATACCCTCATCTTTTAACTGCGTGAGTGTTATCAATATTCAACTTTAATAGTACCATAAGAKATTGATTAACACTAGTCTGCGGCCTATCTTTATGAAGAATATTAAGATTTTTTGGCWTGTTTTCACTTTTTAAAAGCGAAAGTGAACTATTGTCTGCCATGAAATTCGAAAGCTCTAAAAATGCAAAAATTCTTTGCTCTTGTCGACCCTTTTAGCTTTTTTTACTATTTTTCCTCTAAGAATAATAGTAATTACACACAATTACAGAAGTGATTTTAGATAAAATGATATTCATAGTTTTATCATGAATCTAACTAATTTCGAGGCCTCCCGTCTAGCATTGCTATTTGCTGAAATACGATAATATTTTTTATGTTTTGAAGATAGATATGTTGTTGKTGTTGTACAGCGTACAGAATAATTCAAAGACTATACGACAGGTGATATATAAGAAAATACAATCGCTTTCGCCAAGCATTAATAAACCTGACAACGTCACGGTATTTAATAATTCCTAATTTTTGGTTAGATTTACCATTTTTTACGGACTTGTCAACTTATAAACCGAATAAGTATGGTTTTTAATTGCGCATGCGTACCTCGACATTTGTTAATTAAGCATTAATTCTTCGCAGCCAACAAGAGCCCGCTCCACCCGTTCCCATGATTCCTGACGATATTGACGATGGCGACGACAATTATCCACTCATCACTTCGGTATTCTCGCTCGCTTCGTCGGACGAAACTGACARCCCTGATAAAAAATCTAGTTCAACGAAAGAGTCACCAAAGGACGGGAAGTCAACACAGTTGACGTCGCCCACAAAGGTTGGCACCACTTCCTCAAATGAGACTGTCAAACTGTCTCAATCAAGCTCGTTTCGAATCAATCCTAAGCCCTCATCGTCAGCCGCGCAAGGGAATGCTCCTTACTTTGTTGGTAAAGGCAAGCTGCTTCTACCTAAAAGCGATGAAGGTAAGGTCTATTCAACGCATCAGCCTTCCGGTATGACATTCAGTAAGATGGTCAGCATACAGCCTATAACAACYAGTGCTTCCRCCTCGACTACAAGTGATGGAACTAASACTARTACCTCTGTCTTAACTAGAAGCGCTCAAAAGAAGAAAGACGCAACTTCCGGTAATAACACCGGAAGTGACGTGCYAGCGAATGCCACTTCCGGTAGCTCTAGTCCCATGATTAACTTATCGACGACACTTCCGTTTTTGAATATGAAATCAGCGAGTACCCAAATTGCRGTGCCTCCGTTGAACACCGTTACTCCGCCAAGTAATCCATCGTTAAACGTAACGAATCCACTAGTTCAGATGGTTCAACGTATTGCGCCTGCTACCACCGTTGTCAAAAACCCCGTCACTACCCTCTCAAAGGCAATACCACCCGTAACGACTACCGTAAAACCACCGCAACCGAAACCCCGTCATGTGAATATAGCTCCAGCACCAACTAATCCTACTAAATTTGTTGTGGTAACTAAGGCACTCTCCACTCCTACTGCAAGCAACCCGGCTGTAACTACAAACCCGGCAGCCGGTAATGTTCGGCGGATTGTCACGTCACCAAATCAAACAAAGCCCGCCCTTCCAGTTAGTCCTGGTCAGCTAATGTACCTTATCGAGAACAAGACGGCTGATGGGAAAACCTACCGTTTTCTYATCCCCACAGACAATGCGAAGATTGTAACTAATCCTGCTACGAATGCAAAGACTATCACGGTCGTCACCACTAAARCACAACCTGCAGCAGTAGCAGTTACACCGTCAGCCACTGCGGTCACGTCGCCACCSACGCCACTTATAAGGATTGTCCCCAAACCACCGCTGACCACAGCTGTTACGACAGTATCTCAAGCGCCAATTGCGACGACAGTATCTCAAACCCCAACAACTACAGTTTCAGCTGTGACCTCCAGTATACCAGCAACTGGTTCGAAATCTGTTCCTACTAACACAATTTTAAACACAGCTCGTCCTGTAATGTTGAATTTTGGTACCCCTCCCACTGTAGGTGGCAATGTTACACCCCCCGGATCAACATCCCCAGACACGAACATAATGAATTTAACGTCTCCAATCTCGGAGGAAGAGTCGATTAATACTCCTCCGATTTCTCCCGCACCGACCGAAGAGTCCCCGACCAATGACGACTCGATTGATAGTGGATTGAGTCCGCATGAGGCGAGGATCCAGAAGCTTAAAGACCTTTTACGAAAGCAGGAAGACGCTGTTAACCGTCTTAGAGAAAAGCGCAAGAAAGAAATCGAAGATGTTCGCGCTTCGCCAGCAACCACCACATCCAAAAGCGATACCAATKCCGMCAGTAATAAACGAGATAGTCCATTTGCTGTACCACTTCCTCCAAAGAAAYTGCGATATGAACAATACMGGCGYAATAAGATAAAAGACACAGAGATGCAGACATCAAAAGATGGCTTTTTACCAAACACCGATGACACACATTTTGTCAAATTAGTTGGGCTAGAGAAAGTTGTTGATAAACTTAAAGCAAAGAAAATCCTTGAACTCAGCGAAAACAAGGTATCGGAATAAACGCCATGATCTGATTTTATAGTTTGTATTTATCGAGTTTTTGATTAGAAAYGGTTTGTGAATCTTGTATAGTATCTGCATATATAAACAGTAAGTAAAATGGCACTTGCCCGTTGGCGCAATTTTATTATCTGATTGTATTATATACAYCTAATTTCCTAGTTTATGATTTGCAGGTGTTTAAGAACTGTAAGAATGATTGACTTTCCTAAGAAATGTATTTCAGTGTTTTTCCTAATCATAACAATCGGGAATTTCCGATATGGGTATAGTCACGTTCAAGAATAAAGCGAGGTATTTTCAAGGAAAAATGTATGCGAGCTTCGAAAACGCTCACCKAAAGTACCTCGTTTCATTTGTGAATCCCAGATATTTTTGAAAGGGCGCCGCATCTCGGAAATCATATATTATAAATAAAGGAAGTTGTACCGAGGACCTGACAATGCAAAAGTCGGCACACAGATTGCCTATTTCGCAGTTCTAATAGGCAATGTGCAGCGACATCTTTTTTACAAGAAGGCATGATGGGACTTTTCATACGCCTTAGAAATCTCCCTAAAAAAAGTKTTTATATTTTCTTTGTAGAAGCGGCTATACTATGTCTATACCAAGCAGAGAAAAATCTAATGYAGTTCATTATTAGAACAATTTCACATACGCGTTTTTAACATGCAAATGAGTTTGCCGAGTAATTAACATGAAAATTAGTTGTCACCTAAGCTGAGTTGAAACCCGTGCTGACCAAGGCATTCGGATGGTGCCAGTTTGACTTTTACATGAATTTAAGGTTATGGATGGGAAAGTGATTAATTTTATTTCGAATTCTCATAAACTCTTCTTGTTTGATCTGTTTGTATACTACATAAAAAGATAGAGATGGTTGTAAAACTTCATTATTTTACAATGACTGCTTTAAATTATCTAGAAAAATCTAGCACGCATAAATTGCGCTAAAGTCAATTCTCACAATTATGGATCTACYAACTAATTTGCATGTTAAATACTCGCAAAACCATTTGCATGTAAAARGCGATTATGTGAAATCGTTCTATTGGGACTGTTTTAGTGGACATGGAAAAGTCGCTCGCGGCGAGGACTACAATTCCCATCATGCCTTGTTGCATCGAAGGCGTCGCCGTACGTGGTTCTACCATGTTTTTAATATATATTCATTTTCGCGTAGTACTTCCTTGAGTTTTGATCGCATGATRTATTTGACCAGGAAAAATTGTCGCCATATTGGATATGAAGTGAAGAGAATCTGACGAGGATAGCTTTATTATCTTCATCCATTATGGCGTTTAAGTGATCGGCATTTGAAAAAGGAAACAAAGACATTGTGGATTTAAAGTAAACGCACTTAATCCTTGAAATTATACAAAAGCAAAACAGAAWTTTTTACGAGTAATACTCCATTTTACATTTGTAAACGCCATCTTGAAAGGTAGCCGAGCCTTAGCATTAAAGCAAACAGGATTCGTGCMTACAGTGAAAAAGTACCTATTGTTAAMACATAAGATAATAATTCATCGGTGTCCATCATTGCAAGATCAGTCACTATTTCGCTTTGATAATAAGGCTTGGCTATCTTTCAAGATGGCGCAGGGAGCTATGAACTGCYAAAGATCCTGTGAATGATCGCTATTCTTTATGAACACCATTTACTAAACTACATAGTACAAGAAAGTAAAAATTCACGGATTAAATGCTTTCAGTCTACCAGAGAAACTAATAAGTATTAATCTTTTATTATCATCCAATATTAAATAAGTTGTACAATAAGAATTATTTTTTTTTGACAAATGTTTGGTATACTAGATCTTATAATAGACCTTGTGTATACGTCATACGGCCGCCATCTTGAATGTATCTAAGAAACTATKGGACTCGTGACTTCTCATGGCCAAATATCGATGTTTTGGACGAATACAAATTTAAATGAATTCTACATAGAGCTATTTCAAAAAAGGTTGACAGACTGAAGAGAGAATCCACGACCGAAAGTTACCATAAGCCTTTTCTGAGATAGCAGTTTGCATTGCATTGTGGTCTAGACTCAGTACAACAACTTTTTGTTCATGCTGCCAAATACTGCGTTGTTTGTGTTGAAGCTAGACCACAATGCACTATTATTTTGTATTTCAGAAAAGGTCTATAGGTACAGATTATTGATGACAACATTAACTTATGAGAGACATCAATAATGTTTCCAACAAATAAAGATTTTCAATGTTGAATTTTTAATTAGTGTTTTTTCAGCGGATGAGAGTRACAATTTGTTTTGAAATAGCTATAAACACTTGTCATTTTCATCAATTCTGACCAGCCTAGCCTGCAAGAATTTCAATATTAACTGAAAATTAATCCCTGTTTTGTTTATCCTTTCATRTCTATTTTTGGCCATTTTTGTTTCAATTTATGTAAATCGAGGTGGGGACCGTACTGGCGATACATTAAAAACAGTCGGGGTTTTTGGGTTTGGTTGAAATAAGAGAGATGATGTCGTGAGATGATTTGCTGGCATTATCTTCTATTTTTGATACCTTAGTTTGGTCGTACGAAGGACTGATGAAGTCTACCTTGTATTGCTTGTAAATAGTGATATAAGATATTCCATTCTTAGAATATCAATAAAGTTTAAACTACTCTTTAAGTCCGTGTAACTGTGTCTTTAAGTGTTCCTCGGACCAATGCTTCCTGTATTAGATTTAGAACAGCAACATCTCGTTYTCAGTTTCCTTCCTATCGCGCCATATACGACCGTGTCAATACACGCCTTCAGGAGGATTGGGAAGTAGCTGTACACCGCCATGCCGTTGTACAAAGTACCGTTGGTAATAAACTCGATTATGAAGAATTGAATATGCTGAGGAAGTAAGCATATAGCAAATGTTATCACTATGGTAACCATCACCATGACAACCCGTCTGTCCCTCCGTTTTCGAGGACTTTGGAATTGTCTTTGGTCATCGACGTGTCTTTCGATTTCGATTCTCGATCTCTTCAAGAACAGTGCAAGTTTTGCGTAGTGAATGGCAATTATAAGCAAGGGAAGTATGTACTGGAATAATGCAGTTAAAGTGTAGTATAATCTTCGCAAGTRTAGAATTTCCATTTTGAAGGAGGTACAAGGTCTTGGAAGTAATTCKTGGTATATGATAACCGGAAGTGAAAGCGAAATGGAAACGACGCAAATCATAATTGTAATGGACATCAGTGCTCTTAAAGATGGCTTCGGTTTGAATGGGAACACGATGGCATGGTACTGCTGGATCGATATCGTAGTCAAAGTGTATACCTTTCCATATAAGTACACTGACGTCAAGCTGAAGATCACGTGACAAGTAAAGTGAAATCCAATCTTCATGAAAATAACCATAGTAGTCAATGTCAATAAAATTAAAATATTGATAATACAAAGCTGAATTAGGAAGATTTCGTTTGTGTGGAGTCTCCGCAAAGCTTTAAAAGCGTCGAATAATACATAGATATTTCCCAAGCATCCTATGAACGCTACCACGGAATAAAACCCGAGTACATAATCAACACCAATAATGAATGCGGCCCATCTGTCGGTAGACGATGTGGTATTTGTAGATCGATTTGTAAAAGAGGTTTTCACGGGAAAAGCAGTGTTCATCTGGATTTTTTCTGTTTGCAAATATGGAGTGCTTGGCTCCATATCCTGTGTTTGGGGGGTCGATTTTTCTTCTTTTTTCATTATAGCCGAAGTGYCATTTCCATCTGCAATTGAAAAGTTAATTGCCTGTGGTTTCASATCTCTTGTTARCCTRTTATTCTGTAACTTCATAAACGGTGCTTCTTTCTGAATTGAAGATTCTAAACTTCGYCTTGGCTTCAAATGTATATTTACGTCTAATTGGCTAAATCCTTGAGGCTTTGGGTGTTTTGATGTACCAGTCTTTGTACTCGGTGAAGACTTAACGCCTTTYACTCTTAACGATTTCTCAGCTTCTTTAAAATCAAGTCGATTAGAAGCATGTTTCATTTTTATTGCAGTTAGTATTAATGTCATTCCATACTGCAATGTGTTCACGCTGTGCGATTTTAAAACACTGGATCCAGTTGCTGAAACAGASCAATGTTTTTTGGTGCATAATCGTTCCATTACAGCTTGTTGGCCTGCAAATTTCAAACCAGTCGCACTTGAAACAACCATATCCATATCTTTATATTTGTTGCCATGTTGATTATGTCGAGTTCGCCTAATCCGYGTTTTCGGGTTTGATCGTTGAGTTGAGAGCAGCGGTGTTTTCTTACCAATTTTATCAGATTTGCCCGCGCCATTTATCAATTGTTGTGCCATCTTGAAAGTGTGGAGGCTTGTATTTGATAATACCACATAATTATTGCCAAAAAAGTYTTCTCTTAAAAAGACTGTCAGCAACAGTATTCTTAAAATCATTTTKGGAATCACCAGAAAGATCTTTGCATTTCAGGCAGCCCAGTATTCAGTTTTTCCCCTCAGGATTGCGTTCTTCCAGATGTAATATTTTGAAGTTTTTATCTTTTATGACTCGGTTGCTATGAATATGTCGTCCTGTAATGAGCCAAAATGATAATAGAATAAGATATAACACCTTGATATCGCCGAARATTTTATGATTGGACACTTTCACTTTCAAGTTAATAACATTTTACGAGATAAACACTTGACTTTGGTTTGTATCTTTATTTGAGTCAGTTTTGAGATCTTATGATTGAATRCTGTCAACTTGAAGTGAATACCTTTTTACGATTTTTTTKTGTTTTTTTATGTGTGTGTTTCAGTCTTCTAAAGGTTTTCATAACTTAAAGTGCAGTTTGAGCTTCTTTTACTATTCCATAGAGTAAAAGAGGTTTTTAGATTTAAATATTAAGGTAATTACATGCTTTCGCCTTCGGGATAGTACAATTTCAGATTTGAAAACTCATTTCCTCTTTTCTCTCTCTACATCTCTTCTTTTTTTTATTTTTTATTTTTTATAATGAGTTAAGCCAAAGCGGAGTGCCTCGTTTTAAACGAGGAAAACCTCTGATTTTGAGGTAAATTTGAGTTACATTATTACCAATGATGACCGATTTCTATATTTTCATTTGAAGTTAAAAGTACGGAGAAAACTTTGAAAAATGTATTGTGCACATTCCGTGAAATATACATTTGGGTGCTGAAGCGTTAAAGCTTGTAACTTTTCTAGTTTAACTAGTTTAAGATCAGTTCTTGTTTTTGCATACTTGATGTGAACGGATCTCTGTGTACTTTTTTTACGAAAGTCATCATTTTCCAGTCTCAATTAGTAAAGTAAGCGGACATAATCGAAAAAAATTCTATAGGAATAATGTTATTGTAACTAACCTGTTAATTCAAACGTGTAAGATGTGAAAATTCAAATTAAGGTTTTTTTTAAAAGTTAATCGGTAAATAGGAGACTAATTGGCTGACGACAATAACAACAATAATACTCTTGAAATTAGGTGGAAAATTAAAGAATTTGATGACAGATTTMATTCTTTATTTTGATAATACACTATCATATATTTTTGTAATTTAATTTGGTATTTTGGAAAAGTATATGATAATATAATAATACTATGTCCTTTTAAGTTGGACGACATTTTCTGGAATAGGACCAGCTGCATTAATTTTGCAAGCAAAAGATATACACGCCGGTGAGAGGTTGAAATCTTGAGGGCAGGTTCCTGGACACCATTTTTGAATTAAATGGTCAAAACAAAAACAACCAAAAGAAATTTTAATTTAAAAAACCTCTACTGCAGTGCTGTATTAAATGAAACATGATCTAATCATCATCGGAAAAGGAGAAATCCTTTTGACTTTGTGCACTGATCGTCTACCAAATCGTTTGGAGTTATTTTCACTCACTTTGGTGATTAGAAATGAATTAAGTCACCTTTTTGAATACCGCCGATCGAAGTGCTAATGAGACTTCGAATTTTAGCTGATGGTATCGCTTAATTGTGGTTAWAGCGAGCTAGCCACCAGTGGATAATATTGAAAGATATCAACTATTGCTATCTCAAAATGATGGCACCAAAAAGGTTTCTGGTAACAATACTTAACTTAGAGTATGGTCCATTGCGAGTGATGGATTGTGGTCCGTGGGTACAAATTCATTTAACGAAATATACCGCATCTTGTTAACTGCCATTGATCCATCGCCGCAAAAATGCGATGTCATTGAAAAAGCTTGGCTATCTAAACCGACTTTATGCTTGTAAAGATGGGATTTTTCAGCGACAACTTCAGTTTTTTTCTAAGGCATGAAGATTAATTTTAGACACGCACAATGGTCCAAGATCTAGAAACTTTCATTGAGCCCTCATACGCACTTCAGAATTAGGAAATTGAATGCATTTTCTATGATCAACGTAGAAGTACTTACTAAAGTTAATTATCGGCGATATATAAGATCACGCGRGGATGCGCGAATAAGAAGAAAGCCTTTACAAATCATGAGGTATAAAAACACTATGTATAATTTCCATGCAGTCGTTCTATAGTTGTGTGGAAATTACCTGTTATCCATTCTCTTGTTCGAAGGTAGCAGGAGCTCAGTGTTGTGTCGTCTTTTCAATAGCTTTAAGATTGACTATTTGTTCCAACATCCAATTAAACATCCTTCCATATCCTGTATTTTTATAGTAACTTGGTTCAACCAATTGCAAATAATATAGAAAAACCAAAACAAATTAACCAYCAGTCGCTTTCTACACTGGAGGTATCTCACCTYGACTTATTTGACCACTAGCTCACTTGTACAATAACCACCAAGAAGAGAAATSTRGACTTTTTTGAGCAAAATCGATGTTTCTTTTGTTAAAGTGATWTTGCGTATTGAAGTTTCTAATACCAATTAAACGAGATGCGACCTGTGTTTGTCCAGATGAACACGCTAACAGCATGAAGTGTTAAGTTTGCSTACATCTGTGGGACTTCTCTTTGACCAATCTATTCTTTAAAACTACAATYACTAGCTCTCGCACATCATGCTGAATGCTGTTGACATTGTTGACAATGTGCGAACCACCTTGGCGTAAACTTTACAGATTGAAAGCATTCTAATTTGCTAAACAATAAAAACCAATATAGATTAAAAAGAACTTAAATGGAAATTAAATCAAACGAGTCCACTATATACTAATGTTTTCTTTTTTAGAACTGGATATCCTAAAAAAAGATATACTATGAAAATATGAATTATTGATGTGATGACAAAGTGCTGTCCAGTTACATTGAATAAAACCCATAAAAACCCCCTCAGAGATTTATAAGCATGGCGAGAACTCGTGTACACTGAAGCCCCAAGGCCACCTCACACGACGGTAAAAGGAAGATGTCACTTGCGCACTGTTTTCACTGCCTCACAATGCAAAAACGTTACTAGTGTATGAGGATGAAATTCAATGGAGCTAACATCCCACAAAGTGATTTGTTTTCGCCTGGCGAGGAAGTAATGGAAGTGCTTAAGAGAAATCACTCTTACTTGTGCGCAGGCTTCATTATGCTAGTTTCCTAGTAGTTTACATGACTATTCGTTCCCTTTAGAGAGCGATGATAACATTAACTGTTAGAAGAGGCCTAAGTTTTCAAGAATCTGAAAAGTTTTGTTTCAACGGTTTCAAAGAAGTCCTTTTCCGACTTTTTTTAGACATGTTATTCACTGTCCCGAGACTTACGATCCAAAGAATTTCTTAAAGTTGGCTAGTTTGTGTCTGGTGTTTACATAAATGGATCCTAAAATTTCAATTAAATGATAAAGCCACCAATTTTCTAAAAAATCGAGTTTTGTGAAGACAGTACATATGTTAACTGAGCATGTAAATCACTAATTACTTGTATAGTATAGGTTACTAAAAAAGGGCGGGGATCCTCGTCGTCCCTTTTAGGGTTTGAAATCAGTGTTTTGGTCCCGCTTAGGGTGATAATGACGAGAATTCACACAAAATGAGTTTTTTGGTCCCCTTTAGGGTATATACGACGATCCTAAGCCTTCATCATATATTTGTATATAACAACGTCATCATACTGAAACTCAACACGAGCCAAAGGCGTTTGATGCTTGTGCAAAAACAAAAATAAAACCGTTTATTGATTGGTCCCTCGTAGGGGTGACATTTCAGCACTGACACTCCCATCATCTCACAATATAGGTCCCTTTTAGGGGTCATTTTCAGAATTTGCAACGAGGACCCCCGCCCTTTTTTATAAGCGAGTCCCCCCCGGGAGTTATGGGTCAAGCATCAAATAACCATTTGGCATTTTTAGATGATGATCTACCCTTCTTGTAATACAAAGCATGATTTCCAGAGCAAACCGCTGACCATAGTTACTGATGTACTGATCAAGTTGACATCCAGAGTCGTACGTAATTGAGCCAGATTAATTTTGAATCCAGATGTATTACACAGAGGTTTCAAGTCGGCTTGATATATATATATTTTGAATATATCTTAAAGGTGACAATTAGATACTCGGAAACGCAAACATTCGCGATAATTTTTTTAATTAACAAGCCGGTTACATGGTYCTAACCTGTCATAATTTAATTTGTAATTTTGCATTGCAATTTCGTGGCATTGTGTACTTGATGTGAAGCCAGGTCTCACTGTTTTTTAATATTCTCGAAGTTAGTTTGACTTAGAATGTTGATATAGCTAGGGAAAGGTGAGCTCCTATTATATTACCCTGACTTGTCGCTGGTGTTTGTCATTAAAAATTATTTCACTAAAAACAGCACGAAAGAGTTGATTATTTTTTGTTTTTTATTTCGTATGAATTGTTGTTTATATTATTTAYTGTCTCTATACGCTTTATTATAAAAACTACAAGATTTATTCCTCAATACAATTAATTAAAAATTAAGTTTATTTCTAAAACTGATGTTAAACTCTTTGAGATCTTCTTCATGGATGTTACTGCGTCATCCCCAATGCCGCCATTTTGTTTTTGAGATTCTACCTCTTGGCATCGTTTCTTTTTCTTAATTTCTGGGGCTTTTTATGTGAATTTCGCATTTTTAGGTAAAGTGCTATACATTCCGTAACGCTTGCTGTCACTGGCCCCTCGTTGAATGATTGTCGTTGGAAGGGCAAGCATAAGTATGCCCATGAGACAACAAAAKGAACCAAATATTTTGCCTGCCATTGTCATGGGTACCATGTCACCATATCTAAAACATGAAAAAGAATCGTCAAGATTATTTAGAAGATGTCTGACTAATCACTGTTTCAGGGGCTATATGCACGCTTATTATACGGTAAGAACTAATTGAGATGAATTCGCGCGCTCGATCTGATTGGAGGTTCTTTAGCGCGCAAGATCCAGCCTAATATCCGTGGTCAATCTTTGTTACCCGTGAAACATGGTGAAAAACGATAAACGTTTTGATGGCCTTTTCTTCAAACTTTGAGTCTGATTCTCGTTTTAGCAGGCGTATGCTTTCGTTGGAGTTCACCCATGTACCCTGTGCCCCCCCTGATCACAAGTAGGAGGTGCTAGCTGTTATATCAACTTAGCTAATTCAATGAACAGTAATTGAAGAGAAGAGGTTAATAAATTATCGAACGTAGACCTATAAAAATTCTTGTAGCTAATAAATAAGTGTTCCCACAATTCCCATCGGTTGCAGTACGACTTGTTCCCAATATATGACATCTATAACGTGATTTCATAACGTGACGTCACAGATGGATGTCACACAATCTACTTACCCTACTGTCATCATCGTGACGACGGTGTACCACATAGTTTTAGGTATACTTGTAAAATTACTCCTGGAACCATCGTATTCCAGATAAAACATGACAGTAGAAAACATCACATTTGCCAGGAAGAAACCAAAGAACAGAAAACCAAGGTCCACAAACACTACCTTCATCATGTGACCCACAACTCGCATGTGACTGAAGTGGCGCGACAGTTTCACAATTCGAACAATCCGTAACACACGAAAAACGCCCAGAATGTTGGTCAGATTCTCAACATTGTCCGTCTTGATCACATTAGTAACTATCAAATCGATATAGAATGGCAAAAAAGCCAGTAAATCRATCATGCTYAGCTTGTTGGTGATGAACTTTAGCCTATTCGTCGAGGCGTAGAGCCGTAAAAAATACTCCAACGTGAACACACCAATGCATAATGCCTCGACAATTTGAAACAATTCTGGAAATCTTTGATAAAATTTGMCATCTTTGGTGTAATAAACGCTTTCGAGTATTGTGAAAAACACACTTATACAAATTGTCAGCGCAATAAAAACTTGAATTGTTCGTCCCAAAGCTGACGAATCGCCTTCTTCCAACAACAACCATAGGTATTTTCGATTATATTCCGTGACTTTTTTGTTTGTGGTTAACTTTGTCCGTCGCTTTCTAATTGACACTTTCGTGTCGTCTTCCCAACAACATGGCTGAAGCTCCGTTGAACAAATTCCAAAAAAATTGAGCTCTTCCTTGAACGAGTGGCTGCAGTCCTCGTTGGAAGCGTGAAGCTTTCCAATGCGATAAAAGTTCAAGATATATCTAAACATATGAGGGTCACGGTCTAGGAAGTATTCCCTTTTTCTCGTATCGAAGAACATTGACAACATCTCACTTCCAAGGAGTGTCTTTGGATGTTTCTTTAGTGTGCTTTCCGCTATAATGAACCTCCTGCCGCTTACATTCAGCGTGATTAGCTTATCATCTTTGTTTTTTGAATCGCTGGGTTTTCGTCTTCGTTTGTACTGTAATGTCATTGAATTGCGAGATGAATGGTGAAGTGACTGGTCTGTACTTGGGCTTGTTTTCTGTTCCTTCTCGTTGTCCGTTTTGAATGWTTGGAACAGATGAGAGAGGCAACTCTGTTGAGATAAATAACTCAATGTGAGACGTGCCAGTAAAGTTCATTAGGCCCTCCTTTTGGTAACAAGCAGATTATACACGTAATCTGACGTTTAAGAATAAATATAACACACAAATTACAAATACATAAAGAACAGCCCTTGGGCAATAGTGCTCTGTTCCTGATGGCTAGAAATTRAGCAAAAATACACAAAAAGTCAGGACAAAAGATTAAAAGTAAACGAARTTTCTATATTCTACAATGAGCATTAAAACTAGACTAGTATTTTGACAGCGTTGACATGGATATACAACACTAGRACTAATTAAATTAATAAATCCCTCCAGGCCCATACAACGATATGTGACGTGTATTTTTCAATTGGAGTAATAGCATTCAGCTTCCCCTTGTGAAATCCGCCAAAAAAAGCAATTTATTATAAACTACACATTAGCAAGCTGCACCTTTTAAAGTAAAACTTAACTATCCCTGGAAAAACGAATAGACTTAGACACAAAAGCGGAAAAGAGGGTGAACTTAGATAAAAGGTAAAGTACAAATAAGGTGGGYAAGATTTTAATGAATTCAATCCGCAAGAAAACCATGCATCTTAAATTTAAATATGCAAGAGGCAAATAAGTCACATTATGTATGGAAACAGCAAACAAATAWAAGAAAGTAAATTGACAGAAAAGATCGAAGAAAGCCCTTACTAAAACTTAGAAGGTAGAAAGAAGTGAAGTAATAAGCTTAAGGGCCTTGTGAATCAACTCAAACAGTCCCTGCATTCCTTAGGAATAGAGTCAATCCGTGATRCTGACAAGGGTCGCTTGTTTTAATGATCASGAGGTTGTAAAAATAGAGGACACTGAAATGACAATTGATTGAAGTAATTAKATGTCAAGATATTAAAGATAGAGTAATCAGCAAAAATATATTATCATCGCTTGCAGGCTATGTTTTGTTAATCTGTAGATTCTAAMTAAGATGTAGACGTATTTAAACGGGCTTTGCCTTGGTCACTAAAGCAGTGTTTCGAGCTGCTGTATTTGCAGACATTGTGCTCAGTATTCTCTGGAAGGCACGTCACACCACAGCCGCCATGTTGAATGAAAATAACTAGTCCTTCCTCATTAGCTTCTCTTTTCATTCGTCGAACATGGCAGCGGTATTAGCTAGGTTTGTTCATTTGTTTTTTTTTAATCAATTTTTCAAGGGATTTTTAGGAGTTTTTACACGAGCCAAGGTGCCCCCAAGGAATTAGGTTTTTTGTTTTTGTTTTATAAAACAAAACAGTTAGCCCTACCACCTATAGGGATACCCTATCTTGCACGTAAACATGGTCTCTGTCACGTGGTCTTATATCAWGAATATCTGATAACTGAGGCTCGGGGTTACAAAACCTGGAGACTGTTGAGGCCGTAAGCAAGCTATTGCATGGTCACCAATCATAAATCGTATCCAATATGACTAAACGCAAATATATGCATTGTAATTTGTAACATTACATTAATTGTAAAATATATGGAATGGAAAGTGTTTAATTAAAATTGCTATTCATTGTAAACAGTGTACAGAATAATGCAATTTGCAATTTTTATTTTTATTTTTGAAAAGTCAGAGTATTATATATAGATTTGTAAATCTTTTCTCCTTTTAGTTAATGACTTGCACTAGGCTGACTTTTGCAATATCGAAAGTATAAAAACAAAGCCTTATCCCAAATTCAAGGAAAATTATGATTAATTACTGATGAATAACAATTAGCTTCATTTGCTTGCTTTTCAATTTGTAAATTTGTTCTCGATTGTTATTTTGTATTCTATACCGACTACTRAATATCATAATTAATAAGATATCATTTTCAAATGGGAAATAATGTAAAGACAGAAAGGTTAGCTAAGCTAACAAAGTGACTTCACTTCGTCTTTCATCAATTCCAATTTATGAATAACAATTTTTTTTTAAATATTTGCTTAATTTTTTTAATGGYAACGTTTTTGCAATTAGATGCAGATAGATCGAAGAGCTCTAAAAACGACATTGTAACAAAAAAAAAATGAAAAAGTAATGCAGTTTTGGGTCTTAACGAGCATAAAACATTAATTACCTCGAGATCTTTTAGCTTCTATGTCTTATAACTCTTGTTTTCCTTGCTGGTCTTTCTTAGCTGAAAAAAACCGAAGCCTTTTTTCATTTGATTCAGTGCGTTGTGTCTGGGAACTAGTTAGAACTAACCTACAGACAGAYGAAACGTTTCTACGACATGTGACGCTTAATACTCAGGGATATAATGAATAACAATAGAAAGCTAGATTGTCACGTTTGTTTGTTAGAGCTGGTGGCGGTATTTTGAAGGAGTGACGCGCATCTTCACTATTTGCCAAATGACCAGCAGGTCTTCAACGTTACCTTGACGACTAAATCACTTTGACCA